AAGTTCTGTTGCACTTGAGAAAAAACTTCTTGTTGTTGCTTATCTAAAACAATGATCAGTGTTTCCCAAAATATGTTCCAGGATGTTCTTCCCAAAGAATTCTATGGTTAAATAAATTTAAAAAATCACACTGTTGGAATGCTGTGTTGAATATGCAATGGGATTAACAGCCTATATTAGCATGTTCCAGCCTCTGACAAGGACCGCCATAAAGTAACCCCTGTTTACTGGGTTCAGTGAGTTTCTCAATTTAGTTGACCTCGGAAGATTTTTAGGGTTTAACCTCTGTTAATATCCCATTGAACTTCCACTCCATATGAAATGTTGGTCCAGAGAAAAAATTATTTTAAAATAGTGCACCAGACAACCTCTGAAGAGTTTTGTTTGTTTTGTTTTTGATGGTTATTGTAGTTTGATTTTGGTTTGGGTTGCAGAGTATTAAAACCGGGGCATCATGCATTTCTAAGCACATGCTCGAGCTACCATCAAGCCACATCCCCAGCCCATCTGAAATCTTTACCACTATGAAATGTAGGCATTCTTACCCCAAAATTGTGGGCTTTTGTGGTGATTTAGGTAAATCCTCACATCTGGCTTATGTTTAATTCACTAAGGCAAAAAATTATTTCTGAGTTCTTGTAATGTGCTCAGCCCTACATGAGAAGGTGAGATTAGGGGCAGGGATTATGAAAATAGCATGTGGCAAGTCCTCTGTTTTCAAGGATTTAAAATTTAAAGGTACAGGGACTCAAATACAAAGTTATTGCAGATACAGATTTTTATGCAGACCAGCACTAAGCTGTTTTGTGTTCATAAGTACCATGGGGTATCAGAGGTGGGGAAGACTAAGGTGTTCTCACAGTTGATGAGGAATTAAAAGTTGAGCCTTGAACAGGTTTTGAAGGGTGGGCAAAAGAGGTCAAGCAGAGTGGGGAAACAAGAAGTAGAACAGAGGCATGTAAATTGAGTTTTATGGTAAATACACAGGTGTAGGTGACCTTGAAGAGATTAGCCTGCTTGTTTGGGGAGGGGTAGACAAGTTTCAGTGTTTGGCAAAAATAGCACTGTCATCAGTGTAGAAGGCACCTCCTTATTTATCTTCAAATCCTGAGACCTGGAAACATTACTTGCTAGTCTATAAAATCAGTTTGTTTCTTTGGAATACACAGAAAAATCTGATATTTACAGAGGCTTGCATCATTAAACAAAGACTTTTTGGAGGATGAATGAGCAAGTAGACAGTGGAAAGTGGTGAGGAGTAAACACACTTTTAACTAAGCATCAGTGGAATACTGTGTTTTCTAAGGAGGGGGCACCATGGCTGTGTCTCCAGGGCAGTGAGGTCTGTGTGACAGAATGTTCTTTTTAGTTCACTGGATACTTGGTTGATAGAAACATTGCCTCTTTCTGTAATGCAGCCACACAGGTATTTCACCAATATGCACATGGCTTTGACTGATAAAATCAACAAAAGACCATAACTTTAAAACTATATACAGGCAGGCCTCATTTAACAACAGAAATATATTCAGAGATTCCTAGTTCTGAGAGATTCATCATTAGATGAGTTCATTGTTTGAATATCAGAGTGTACTTAGACAAACTAAGGTAGCTACAAAGTCACGAGGTGATACAGTCTTACAGGAACAGCGTCATCTGTGTGGCCTGTCCTTGACCGTAATGTCATTATGCAGTGGTTGTTGAAAGGTAAACCTTGGAACATTAAAATTGTAAAGAAAGAGTTGATTTGTGCAGATAGCAATTCATAAATTGAGCACCTCCAAACAGGAAGTGCTTTGGGCTCCACCAGCAAAACACAAGGGAAAACTTGTATAGAGTGAAGAAAGCACAGCAAAGAAATGATTTGTTTGGTTAAAGTTTGAGCAGTTACCTTACTGATGGGAAGTCCCTGATGAAATAGCTCGTGCTCAGTTAGTCCCTTGAAGTACTTGGCCGAGTTTGTTTCATTTTCTTTATGTAGAGGCCAGGAGCGGGGGCCCCATCTTAGTCGCATGGTCTCCCTTTAAGTTATTTTTAGTTTGTCTACATATATGTGTGGAATCTTTTATTTCTGCATTGTAATATCAAATGAGTTTTTTTTCCCCAAAGGATAGCATACTGTGTTTGATTATAGTATCATTAGGACTCACATTATAAATTTTTTCTTCATAGCTAACGAGTGTTGTACAAGCTCTGGGGACTTGGTGGTAAAGTGTATTTCTGAATTAGAGTGCTGATGCTGCCCATTACCTAACTCACACCAAAGGAAAGATTTGCTGTTAATAAAGTGCAGCTGTTATCCTTATCTCAACCAGCAAAAACCCTTGTTCCTTCCTATTACGGCTTATACTCTTTCTACAACAAAATTAGAGATAAGGGCAAAATAGTTTCTGCTGGGTATTGAGGGGATGGGGGGAGAGGGAGGGGGTGGAGTGGGTGGTAAGGGAGGGGGTGGGGGCAGGGGGGAGAAATGACCCAAGCCTTGTATGCACATTGAATAATAAAATAAAATAAAAATAAATAAAGTGCAGCTGGGACACACTAGATGCCTTTCTTCTTCTGTAGCATGAATCTTTGTTCTAGAATGAATGAGTAAATTTGGGGAGCCTTGATGAGCTCTATGGCTTCTCTTTTCCCTGCTACCAATCCATTCATTCTTAGCAGGTAGTCCTTAGTCAAAACACAAAAGAAGGTAGAATTATATTGGTATTCCCACATGGTGTACTATCTTCCTAAGGGAAAGGAATGAACATTTATAGTACTTAAAAGGTTGAAATAGGATTGCTTTTCCAAGAACAATAAAAAAATCTTATTGGAATGTCAGTGCAGAAAGGATAATTGGAGGTAAATGTCCTACTGGCTACAAACCAGTGCTGAGCATTGTATGACTGTAGTGTGGAGGATGCATATGATGACTCTGGAGAGCTCCCCAGGATTCTCTTTCACCTGTGCCACCCCCAATGGCTACTTGGTTCAGCAGCTAAAATAGGAAGCTATACTGTCAGCCTTCCACATCTGTGGGTTCCAAACGTACCCTCAGAGTCAACCAACTGCAGATAAAAAATGTTCAGAAAAAAATTGTGCTTGTATCAAACATGTACAGGATACTTTCTTGTCATTATTCCTTGAACAATGCAACATACCAGTTACTTACATAACATTTAATTGTATCAGGTAACCTAGAGATGATTAGAGATGATTTTAACTATATGAGAGGATGTGCATGGGTTATATACAAATATATAAGAGACTTGAACATCTGTGAATTTTGATAACATGCCCCCACCAATAGCGAGGGACAACTGTATATTATTAACTTGGTGCATGCTGTTTCTTATGATTGCCTTAGTGTAACCCAAGTGTCTTTTCTTTCCTTTGTTGATAAAGCAGTGGTTTAAATGGCTTTTTAAAAATGAAGCAAGAAAAATAAGTGAGGGCTTAGTCAAAAGTGCACTGCATAAAGTTTTCATTATTGTTTTACCTGCTCAGTACAGATGCCTTCCAGAACAGTGTTCCACTTAAGGAGTTTCTTGGCAGAAATCCCAAGCTTTGTGTATGGAATGGAAATTCACAGCTTTCTTAGAGTTAAAAACACTCATGCATTTTTATTATAGCATCTATAAATGTTTATCTTATTTTGATGGGAGATGTACAAGTATGTTGAGACTTGCCTGATAACAGCCAGAGATACTGGTTATTCTAGCCAAAGATCTGAAGACAAAAGTTACATTCCCATTGTGTCTTATTGTCTGAGGTCATGCCAGAGACATAATGGCTCCTTTCCTTCTAGTCAAGTAATGGAATTCAAAGAAAATGATGTTTCAGCTTCATCATAATAGGAATTTCATGATTTTCTTGCCTGAATTCAGACACATAGAATTGCCCACCTGACTGGAATCCATGGACATCCTTTCCCTGTTTCTGAGCTCTGGATTTTTATTTGGGGCCTTCAATCTCTGTAGGATTGTTAAGCCCAGTGATGGAGCTAATATTGTCTGCAGCTTTTTATTTTCATGCCTTTTGCCCTGGAAAGTCTATTTTCTTTTCTTTTTTTCTTGCAGTAATTGGAATTGAACCCAGGGCCTCACATATGCCACCCCAGCCCTTTTGTTTTTGTTTTTGAGACAGGGTCTTATGTTACCTTTTGCTTAGGGTAGCCTCAAACTCTCGATACTCCTGCCTCTGCCTCCTGAGTAGCTGGGATTATAGGCATGTACCATGAGAAAATCTATTTTCTTATCCCCATTATGCATAGAATCATGTGCCTTAGAAATCAAAATTTAGCTCCTTAATCTTGCACATGAGGAAAATATTTAGAAAGCAAATTAACCTAATATTTTGTTACTTTGAGTTTTTTTCCTCTTCAGAGTTTTCTTCAAGTGTAATTTCAACTATTTTTGAGTTATTAACATGCAAAAATGAATGTTATAAAAAGTGTATGTATGGATGGTGCTCAGAGAAAGGTGTAATTGGATTTTTAAACTTCTATTTGGGTTGAAATAGTTGAAAATTGTCATTTAGAATCATGCTTTTTAATGAGAAAAATTGATACAGATACATATATACTGATATGTATGTATCTCTAAAGGTAAAATATGGATATATTTCAGCACCAATTTAAGAAAAATTTAATATGAAAATGGATTTAAAGTTGTTTGCCCATCTGCAGTAATGACTATAGCATTTCTTTATCTTCATGCCCTTACATTGCCATTTCTTTGATTCAGAGATACTTTGAAGTATCTCTGAATGATTGTCTGGATCCATTCTATTAAACCAGTATGGAAGAAATTCATTGCATGCATACTACATTTTTGAGCCAATACGAGTTTATTACTTCAAGCAGTTATGTGTTTGATTTTGTCTCCTGATCTGTCACATTCTGTTACCAAGGTGCTAAATTTTTTTTTTTCTCTTTTCCTTATTTCCATCTGATGTGGCTGTTGTGTTGGCGACTCTCTGTATCTCTGCTGCTGAAATTTTTTCTTTGCATCATTCAGGAAACCTCCCAAGGTAAGCACTGGCATAAAAGTAGGCATGCATACTGACAGAAACCTAGAGTCTTAACTCATCATAATAATTCGTGTAGGCACCTGTCCTTTTCTTGTTTGTGCTAAACATTTGCAGTTTTTGTGAGAAAAATTCTGTATTTACTTCAATGTCCTTTTATATTTTATGCTATTTTGGTATTTATTTGATTTTAAGATCATCTTTAAGCCTGGACACCGTGGCTCACACCTGTCATCCTAGCTACTCAGGAGGCAGAGATCAGGAGGATCAAGGTTCAAAGCCAGCCCAGGCTAAATAGTTCAAGAAACCCTATCTTGAACAAACACATCACACACAAAAAAAGGAGGCTGGTGGAGTGGCTTAAGGTGTAGGCCCAGAGTTCAGGCCCCAGTACTGAAGGAAAAAAAAAAAAAAAGATGATCTTTATGCTTTCCAGATGTGCCTTACTTATAATGTGTGCTATACATTAAGTATTTAAAAACTATATTTTAGCATGATGATTTAGCATTAATTATATTTTGAAACTTTCATGACTCTTCATAAGACCTATCAATAGGATACTTAGCAAAACCAAGGTTGCAACCTTAGGCTATATATCCAGGCTAGAAAATAACCAGGTGATCCTGTGTACAAAGCAGTAGTGATTTTTTAAAATGTTTTTGTGCCTTTTTTCGTTTTCAGTACTTTTCCTTCACCAAGTAGCCATATGTAATACCTATATATCACAGAGAACTGGACAAATTACTAAAAACCTGTGCTTAAAGGCACTAGAGGTATACAAAGTTTAGTAAAAAATTACTAGACCGAGGTCTAAAAGGAGGTGAAAATTTAGAGAGATAAACCTAGTGTTTTTGGTGTGTGCCATTCAGCTTAATGACAGAGCAGTATTGCTGACAGTCTTTTAGAGCCCAGGGGGACCAAAGTGTTGGAGTTCACATTCTGCCAGAGGTGGAGTCTTTGGTAATCTTATACTTTGGATTTCTAATGTGGTTTGAAACCTAGCTTTGGGTGGGGTATGAAGGTGAAATAAAGACAAACCACCCCTCACATGGATAGCTATGGGGTTCCAAGTCATTATGTAATCCAGGAAATCCCAAGCACCAAAGTTTGATCAAAGTGATACCAGACTGCAGAGGCCCATAAGCACCTGGCAGAAGCAAATGTAATCCTGTCTTTAAAGATTCCCAAAACACTTTTTAAAATACATTGTCCAGGGCTGGGGATGTAGCTCAGTGATAGAGTACTTGCCTGTGTTCAATAGTACCCAAAAAAAGGAAAAGAGAAAAAGAATCCTCCTCCTAAACCCAATGTCCAGAACATAAGAAATAATAAAGAAGCTGCATGACAAGATAATGGAGCAAGAATCAGCAGATATGAAAACTAGAAAGATCCACAAATGCTTCAGTTGTTCAAATTATTAGACACAGACTTTAAAATGAATATGCTTGTTATGGAAATAAAGCACTATGCCAAAAATGTTGGAGAGAACTGGAAATTATAAAAAGTAGCCACAAAACAAACTGAAAAGTAAGTCAGTAGAAATTCTCAATCTGAAATACCCCAAACCAAAGTTAAGAACTTAGTGTTAGCGTTTAGTAGTAGAATAGATTCAGGTGGACGGAGAGTTAAATAACCAGAAGATAAGGTAGCAGGAAATGTTAAGATGAAGAACAGAGCAGACAAATGGTATTGGAACAAATGGACATTGTAAAAAAAAAAAAGTAAACACAGACCTTACATCCTTCACAAAAGTTAACTCAGAATGGAACATAAACATAAATATAAAATGCAAAACTATAAAACATCTTGTAGATAACATAGAGAAATCTAAGTGACCCTGGGTTTGATGATGGCCTTTTAGGCACAATGCCAAAAGCATGAGTCATGAAAGAAAATACTAATAAGTAGAACGTCATAAAAAGTTTGTGGATACAATCAAAAAGAGACAATGTATGCATCTCTATAAATGTTACAGTGAAACCCATTAATATATACTATTAATATATATTAATAATTATATGTATATATTTAAAAATAAAAGCTTCTCCTCTGTCAAAGACAGTACTAAGAGAGTGAAAAGACAAACTACAGACTGGGTGAAAATATTTGCAAAATACACCTGATAAACTTTGTATCCCAAAATACCAAGAATTCTTAATTAAAACTTAGTAGTAAGAAAACCACCCAATAAAAAAAATGGGCTGAGGATCTGAAGACATTTTAACCAAAAACGATACACAGATGGCAAAAAGCACATGTTTGATGTCATGCCATTAGAGAGTCGCACATTAAAACAACAATGAGATACAGTCATACACCTATTAATGACTAAGACCCAAAAATCTGACACTACCAAAGCTAGTCAAGATGTGAAGCAGCAGAAACTCTGTCATTGCTGCTGAGAATGACAAGTGGTTCAACCATTCTGGAAGACAGTCTGCAGTTTCTTATGAAGCTAACTATATTCTTCTCACACAACTCAGAAATCATGCTTCTAAGTTTTACCCAAATGAATTGAAAACTTATCTCATATCCTATGCACGAGTGTTTACAGCACCTTCATTCACAATTGCCCCAGACTGGAAGCAACCAAGATGTCCCTCAGCAGGTGAACAAGTAAACAAACCCTGGTACATCCATGCAGTGGAATATTATTCAGTAATAACAAAAAAAAATGAGGTACATGTCATGAAAAGATGTAAGAGAACCTTAATTGCATGTTGCTAAGTGGAAGAAGCCTGTTTGAAAAGGCTACATATTGTATGATTCCATCAGTCTGACATTCTGGAAAAGACAAAGCTATACATAGATGAAAAAAGATGATTGGTGCCTGGCACTGGTGACTTACTCCTGGAATCCTAACTACTCAGGGGGCTGAGATAGGGAGCATCATGGTTCGAGGCCAACCCAGGCAAATAGTCTGCAAGACCCACCCATCCCAAAATAATTAGAGCAAAATGAATTGGAGGCATGGTTCAAGTGGTAGAGCACCTGCTTTGCCAGTGTGAAGTCTTGAGTTCAAACCCCAGTTCCATCAAGAAAAGAAAAAAGATGAGTGATTCTCCAAAGACAGTGCTCACAGCACATTCAGCCAACATGTAGTTACTCAGTGACTGTTGGAAGAATGAAGAGGAGGCAAGGAATGAGGAAGGAAGGGAGGGAAGAAGGAAGAAAGGAGCTGGAGAAGGTGGACTCTTACCAGTTTAGTAAAAAGAAGGCTCAAGTTTAGCTAAATTATTAGTCCCCCCCACCCCCCACACACACTTGTTGACAGAGCCACTTGGCCAGAGACTGAGCTGGAGAAAACTCACTGCCCTAAACCCATTCTCAAGAAGACTCAAATGTCTGGCTGGCCCATATTCCTGAGGATCTCTTCTGTCCATATCACTCTCGCCTGACCCAAAGGAGAAAGTACGTTTTGGATATTACAGACCTTACCACCAACTTAGATTCTATTGTCATTAGTTTGTGTTTGGACAGTTGTTGAAATTATGCCTAACTATGTGATAATAGTAAATAATAATCACCAAGCTGTAATATGCACTGTTTACATTATGGGTAAGGATTTTGTACAGTTATAAGAACTATTCTAAGGTAGGAGAATGGATTAGGAGGAAGGGGAGGCTTATAAAGGAAGAGAGGAGTAAGTAGAGTAGAAGATATAGCTAGCACCCTCAGACCTATCCTGTTTTGGGCAATGAAAAGAGAAGAAAGAATCAATAAAAATCACCAAGAGATGAGGGTGAAACTTCTTTGACTGGTTCTTTCCAAATTGGGTTTCTTTTTTCCTTAGAGTTTTTTTTTTTTTTCCTGTATCATAGTAGGCAAAGAGAAGATGAAAATAAAGTTCTAGTTGACTGACAAGTTTGATTTAAATACAAATTTTTAACTGCCTTTTAATACTCTGACCAGTTGCATATTATGTAGTGTTTATGGAACAAGTTCTGTTTGCCTTAGAACTTAGAGCTTTTGGACAAACAGAGGCACCTGCTTTATACTCTTCTGTAGTTTAAAAAGAATAAAGAGTCTTTATCAATAACTGTCAGAGTGTGGGAGGTGTGATCTTCCCTGTCAGTGTGACTGTGGTTGTAAGTCCAAGGTATTTGAATGTTAGAGATATTGCAAAGGAGTACAAGGGGAAAATTAGTTGCTAGCAGCCACCTTCTGATAAACTTCAGATTTTGGCTACAGTGGTACAGAGGGAGAAGAGGAGTTATTTCATTTTTGTTAGGTTTTATGGGGCATGTTGGAGAGAAAGAGTAAGAAGGAGGAGTTTGGAAGAAAATGTAAATATCTACAAAATTGTTTTGTTTAAGGTGTATCCTGTTTATGCAGTTGCTCATTTTAAAGTCATGATTTTAATATTTAATATCTTATAATTTAGTATATGATTTATTTGAGTGATTCAGTCTTGTTAGTAAATTCACTTTCAATGTTTTTTCTTTTACTTGTAAATGAGGTTAAAAACTTCCAAACTCCAAGTTGTTTGATCCTGCTTCTATGTGTATAAATTTTTTTGGTGAAATATTGAGCTGAAGAAATTGACATATTGAAATTAAAGTGTTACTTTTTAAGTTTTCTCTGCAGTGCTAGGGATCAAACCCAGGGCCTTATGCATCCTAGCAAGTGCTCTAGTGGTGAGTTGCACCCCAACCCTTTTCTTCTTTAAAGAGGTACACTGATAAACTGGGTGTGGTGGCACAAGCCTATAATCTCATCACTCTGGTGAGAAGGCTCAAAAGTTTGAAACCAGCCTGGGATACATATCAAGACCATGTCTCAAAAACTAAAACAAACAAAAGTTCACTGATCTATATCACAAACCTGGCTTTATAAAAATTGCTTAGAAAGGAGGGGAAAGCAAGCTGTGCCACCTGAAATACAGTCTGGTTTTACAATGTGACTACCCTCATTTTCTGTTGCCTCTTCTGTTTTGGTGCTATGACTTTCTGAACACAAAGCCTTGGCTCTCAAAGGCGGTATATTGACAGTAGCTATCTAGC